GTACAATTGAATGACCCCCTCTGTCCTGGTCAACTTTTATCTAAACCATTTTTTTGTAGATACCGTAATTTGGAAGATATTCGGATCCATAGACTAAAATGACTCACCTTGTATATTCGACGTCTACAAGAAGAAAATGAATGGCTAAAAATAGCAGATGACTTCAATAATATGTAGGATTTCCCAAATTGTATCGGGGCAATTGATAGCAAGCGATTTTCAAAGTTTCGGAAATGTTTTTCCATACATTCTTTTTTCCCTAGTATTTTTTAAATCTACATTTGAGGAACGCCGGCGGTTTCCCGCCAACCCCACTATGTGTGAAAGCCACACACACACCTCATAAAAAAGAAATAAGAAATAAGCTCAATATTGGCGCACCGCATCTCTGTCTCGATAGAGAACAATCTTTATTTAGTTGCACAATAATTACGGAATATCTAACTTAACGGTAACACTTATACAAGAAAAAGAAAGAACCGTGATAGCATGACGTGGCTGTCAACGCGGACAAAGAAATTCAAGCTAAAAGAAAACAGAGCTTGCGCGATCCGATCCAATAACAACACTCTCGCGAACAAAGCCTGTGACCGACTTGAGCGTACGTATGATGACCTTGCAGGTCGATACGTGGCACAACGTTGTTCACGTGCACGAACACGTGAACAGCACTAAGAGCGCGGAATGTCGGACGCGGCGAACAGAGATAGGACGACCCTGAGGGCTTCGCATGTCCCTTCGCTGGCTTGACGATGCCAGGATACGCCCGCAACGATGTCCAGCTGACCTCAGCGAGAGGACGCTCAGCTGAGCGCAATGATGAACCGCACGTGGCAACGCGTGACGTCACGGCCGCACGAACACTGCCGGCCGGCTCGCTTGCCGAACACGTGATACGCACGTGGAAGCCGAGCTCGCTCCGCACTACCGCACTAATGATTATCGCCCGGTGTCGAACTCGCCGGCACCTGAGAGTGCACGGGAGCAAATGCACCGGTGACGAGTGCACACAGGATCCACGCACGAGCGAGATCAATTCGCGGTGGGCGCACGTGAGACTCTATGCGCGACGCGTGTGTTCCCGTGACTACTCGCTAAAAGAAAGAGACGGCACTCGCGTGATTACTACGCTTACCGCACAGTGGCGAGCACCGAGAATCGGTTACGAAAAGAACGAGCACGAGCAGAACACAATGCACCGGATGCGGCGAAAAATACGGTCGCACACGAAGCTGAGAGAATACGTGGCCGGACAGACTGAGAAGCGTACCGAAAGGTTAGGCGGCTCGGAATCGAATTGGTTACCGACTGGTTCAGCGAGCACTTACGGTGCGATCGCGAACAATTGGCGCGGCTGTAGCTTGCTGCTTGCGTCTGCTGATGCTTGGCGGCGGTTGCACATGCGTACGCCCGTGCATGTGTGTGTCGCGAAGACTGGGGCGCCACACATTACATTTAGCATATAAACAATGATTTTCGTGCACAAAATCAATAATTATTTCACCTAGATTTGTATGTTCCATGATGAAAATAAGAGGTTATATTGTGTATAATAGTCGGATGTCGGAAAAGATGAGAGTTGACCAACTCTCGTTACGATAACGACAACCGACTCCCGACAGCTTTATGCGACAGCCGACAACCGAGTACGCATGCGTCCGACGCCGACATACGACACATTGTAGAACAGGCCTAAGGACTAACTGTCGCACACAAATTGACATAACTGCATATGCATAGCATAAGATCGTATGGACCAATGAACATCGAATATTAAACATCGAACACCAATATGGCGACTTAATACTCGATGCTCATTGGTACATACGGTCTTATGCTATGCATATGCAGTTATGTCAATTTGTGTGCGATAGCCCTAAGGCTTCTCAGGACGACGTAGTCGTTGCCAGGGACGCAGCACGCACGCGAACTAAGTTCGCTTATAAGTCGACTCAAGACTTATACGGCGTCACGTACGCGACTCCACGTGAGTTATGCTCGCTTCTAAGTCCGCACTAGACTTACCCGCTGCCAAAGAGCAGCCCTCAGGCGAGCTCCACTCGCCTTTGCTTTGCTGCCAGGGCGCAGCCTCCACGCGAGCCATTAAGTCGACACGGGACTTAGTCTCCGTCGCACACGCGACAGTATTATTATCCGACAAGGGGGACTTCTCCTAGCGCGGAGATGCTTGGAAGCGGTGAACTACCGCAGGGCCACCACCTCGATTGAGACAACTCGCTCAATCCGAGTCGGCGACCCACGACACGCGGAGGCGAGTACACTCGCCTCCCTAGGAAGATCGAGAATCGCTTGCGCCCCACGTCATCTCACAGGGCCGCTGGATAGTGGACTATCGGCGACGAAGACCGCAGTCTCCACGCGACGAGGAGACATCGAGCCGCATCTACCAATACGAACCGGCTGCTCTCCTAAGGACGTTCGAAACAGATTATGATTAAAAACAGCATTATAATTGCAAACTTTTCAATATATCTATATTCGAAATAAAAGTATTAGAAAAAAGATTTTTAAAGAAACTGCTAAAAAACCAGTCAAATCCTGCAATGAATTCCCTTCAATTATCCTGAAAAGGACTATCAAAAAAAAAAAAATGCAGCAAATGGTAAACCGCTCCAGCAATTATCAAAAGGTCAGCTAAAAAAGCAGCCAACTCCTGCAATGAATTCCTATAATTCTCCTGAAAATCTACCCTGAAAATTGGATTATCAAAGGAACAAGCAGTGGAGTAGTTGTGGAGAATAATTTTTCGAATAACTTCGAAGATAAAATGAAGATAACAGTTAATGGATCATTCCATTTATTAAACTGATGTGAGAAAATTTGTGGTCAAAACCTAATAAAGTTGGTCATTGTTGGTTACCAAAGGTAAAAGGCGGTCATTGCTGGTAATTAACGGTCACTAAAGGTAAAAGTTGGTCAAGTTCTTTGATTAACTCGGCTACTGCAAATTTCTCGTGGTTTGCGGGGGACTCCAAGGTCAAAGGGGAGGGGTTACTTAAGGTCATATCTGAACGTAAAATTTTCCGCTCTTTTTATTTCTGGCGTCAAAAGTATGGAATCCCATTTGAAAAATCGAATTTAACCTTGAAGTAACCTTGAAGGTCAAGGTCTAGGTCAAGGTTAAAGTTACCATCGGATAGCCAGAGAAAAATCTTGAAACTTTTATATTTAAAATTTTTCTCTAAAATGCTCCCCCGCCGAGTTATCTTGCCGTTCCGATACTTTTGCTATACCCCTGTGTGTGTGTGTGTGTGTGTGTGTGTGTGTGTGTGTGTGTGTGTGTGTGTGTGTGTGTCATCTAAAGATGCGCAACAAAGAATTGACGCAGGAATTGAATGTACTAAGAACACAGTGCGAAAGAAACAGAAAGAACCTAGAGGAGGCCAATAGAAGGATTAAAGAAATCGAGAGAGGAGGCAGCCAGCTGAAAACAAACAGAAGAGGGAAGAGCACAGGATTGAAAACGGAGGCAGACACGAATGCCACATTGAGAAACAACGGGAGATCTGAAGGCATGGGAGAAAGTGACGGAGAGCTCGCCATAGCAGACGACCTGATGGAATGTGAACCAGCCCACGAGGAGGAAACCGGTACGCTGCTCAGACCCCCGCTTAAGGGAATCAGGGCTCCCCTGTCGGCCCTAGTGGCCACGTGCGAGTCCACGGACGAGGAGCGCACGCGCGAAAGAGAATTGTCGCGACAAATCTCCGAACTGGTCAGGACCAGACGGAACGTTAGGAAGAAGCTGAACAACAATGACGAGACTGACAAGGGGAGAAAAACGGAAGGGACAAGCCAAGAAGAGAATCACGACCCTCCCCCTGGCCAAGACAGACGAAGGCCTGAAAACCAAAGCTAAATGAGGACCGAAAATCACCTCGGTAGTCTGGCTGACCACCCCCTACCGGATAAAAGAGTATCCACCACTTCCTGCAGTGATAGGAGAGGAAAGGAAAGGGAAGGGGGAGAGGACGCCTGGACGGAGAACGAGGGGAGGAAAGAGAGAGAAAAGAAACGCGACAACGATACCTAATAATAAGGAAAGGAATGCCGAAATCCGGAACAACAGCTCCGGGAAAACGACGAACAAAAAGGCCGAAACTATATATCGGAATGGGAAGGGGAGCGGCGGGCCCGCGGCTGGGAAGCCACCCAAGCGCAGGGTCCCCAAAACGGCAGCTGTAACAATAACAGGCCGTGACACCGACTTTTCCTACAGCGACGCGCTGCGGACGGCCAGAGAAAAAATATCCCTGGCGGACTTTGGGATAGAGCAAACCAGGATCCGCAGGGCCGTCAACGGTGGCGTCCTGGTCGAGATCGGTGGGACCGAGGGGTCAATCAAAGCGGAAAGTCTGTCATCCAGACTACGCGAAGTACTTGGCTCGGATGCAGTGGTCGCCAGACCCACGATCAAGGGGGACCTGCGAGTCGTGGGGCTGGACGACTCGGTAACCGTTGACGAGGTCCGCTGCGTCCTTGCGGAAGTGGGGGGATGCACCCCGGAAGAGGTAAAAGCAGGCCCAATAAGGAAAATGTCCAATGGGCTCGGCACAGTTTGGGTCCAATGCCCACTGGTCGCGGTGATACGGCTAATCACGGTGGGCAAAATTAAAATCGATTGGACCGTGGCTAGGATTGAGGCACTGAAAGCGAGACCCTTACAATGCTACAAGTGCTGGGAATTCGGGCACGTTAGACATAGCTGTAAGTCCGTGGAAGACCGCACCAAGCTATGTTACAGGTGCGGGCAGGAAGGACACAACGCCCGGAACTGCACGGCTAGCCCGAAATGTGCCGTGTGCGAGAAGAATGGGAAGGACAGCAATCATAGGCTGGGTACAGCTCGATGCCAAGCCGTGAAGGACAGGATGAGCAGGGACCCAGATGGAGGACCGGGATAACACAAGTGGACAACACTAATGGACCTCAAGATTCTACAGTGTAATCTCAACAGGAGCTGACCTGCCTATGACTTTATGGTCCAACAGGCGAACGAACTCGGCATAGGACTGTGCCTGATTTCGGAACCTCCGACGGCTCGAGACACTCAACAGCGCCATAACAGTGGGAATGGGCTGGCCTCCATACTATGTTGGCCGGACCGAATGCCTAACGACAGAACGGGCCCACTAGTAAAGAGAGGCCGCAACTATGTGGCTGTCCGAGTCGGAGACTGGCTTTTGGTATCCTGCTACGCCTCGCCCAACATCGTGCATGGCGAATACCTAGAGTTCCTCGACGAACTGGAGGAACTCATCAGAGACAAGCGGGCTGCTGAAATGATCATCGGGGGGGATTTTAATGCCCGATCCAAAACCTGGAACCCACGGGCATCAATAGTAAAGGGCCCCTAGTCGAGGAATGGGCGGCGGAATTGGACCTGCGCCTGTTTAACAAGGGTGAGGCCCTACCTGTGTACACCCGCGGGGTTCATCCACAGTGGACCTAACATGGACGACCCCGGACGCGATTAACGCGCTAACCGGATGGATGGTCACTGACCATGAGTCACTTTCCGATCACAGATGTTAAATATCGACTCAGGATGGCAAGAACCCCGACTATGCTAATCAATGGAAGAACCAGGCGACATCTGGGATGGAACATACGGAAGTTCGACACGGAAAAATTCACTACCGCGCTGGAATGGAGCGGTCAGGAGGAACCAAGGGAGCCCAGCTCGGCAGAAATCACCGCGGAATGGCTACAGGCCAAAATTCAGGAGACTTATGACCTCGCGGCCCCCAGAACAGGTAAACGCTTCACCGAAAGACAGGAGTATTGGTGGAATGCCGAGATCGAGGGCCTGAGGAGGGAGTGCGTTGCCACTAGGAGAACCCTTACCAAGATCAATGTAAGACACGCGATACGTAGGAAGCGAAATAATCGCAATCCTGACCGCTAGGGGCAACAGTCCCCACAGAATATGCAACGAGAAAATGAGGACAGGCAGAAGAAAGAGGCCGGATTCGCATATCGGGAAGCCAGAAAAAAGATGCACACTGAGATTAAAAGGGCAAAGAGCATGGCATGGCAAGACCTTATTAAATCAGTGGAATCGGACCCATGGGGACTACCCTACTGGGTAGTCCTCAAAAAGCTTAAGAAATCGGCACCCGCGGTCACGGAGAGGTTCGAAGCGGATGTCCTTAAGCTGACGCTCAACAAATTATTCTCGACGGGTGAAATCACCGAGTTTGATGAGAAACTCTCGGTGGAGCCGTCTCAGTGGAGCCAAGGCCCGGAACTCACTCACGAAGAGGTCCACAACATAATTAAGAACAGACCCAGCATGAATACCGCGCCGGGCATGGACGGAATCAAGGCCACCATATGGAAGAAGGTACCGGCGTGCACCATCGCCACGGCAACAAGGTGTTATAATCTATGCCTGAGGCAGGGGGTCTTCCCGAAGGTGTGGAAAAAAGCCAAGCTCGTGCTCATTCCCAAGGCCTCCAAGGGAAACGACGATGGTGGAAACCACGCGGGCAGGATGAGGCCAATATGCCTTCTTAGCGAACTAGGCAAATCCTTCGAGCGTGCGTTGGTTGACCGCCTACTGCATTGGATGCAAGAAAACCCAGCTGCAGACCTCTCTGAGGACCAGTATGGGTTTAGGAGAGGGAGGACCACGTACGACGCCCTGCTGAGAGTTAAACGGGTCGTACAAAACACCACGGGCAATGGTGGTTTCGCAATAGCTGTCAGTCTGGACATCAGGAACGCCTTTAACTCGCTTCCGTGGCCTGGCATACACGCTGCGCTCGGCAAGAAAGGCTTTCCGGCATACCTGAAAAGTATCGTGGGAAACTACCTGGCCGACAGATGGATCGAATACTCAGTGGCGGGTGGCAGGGTGGGGGAGCGTCGGGTCACGGCGGGAGCTCGGCAAGGCTCCCGCAAGGCTACCGCAAAGCTCGGTGCTCGATCCGCTGCTCTGGAACCTGACTTACGTCTGGGTCTTAAGGGTACACAGAGTGGAGGAATGCTATGTCATTGCTTACGCGGACGACACGTTGATCATGGCTACAGTAGAGACCGTGGAACTGGCTGCGTTACGGGCCAGCCTACAGATTGCACTGGTTGCGGGCCGCATCCGGCAGCTGGGCTTAAGACTTGCAGCTGAAAAAACGGAAGCTGTGGTTTTTCATCCCCCCCCGGAAGAGGCCGACTGACTTCCCATCTGTCAGGGTGGAGGAGGAAACAATACAAGCAGGCAAAACAATGAAATAGCTGGGCGTATTTTTGGACAGCGACTGGACCTTCGTGCACCATCTGGAGTATGCCGCAAACAAGGCCATGAACATGGCTAGATCGCTCGGCCTCCTCATGCCCAACCTACGAGGGCCGCATGAGGAAAAGAGGAAACTCTACAGCGGTAGTCTTGTCGGTCGCCTTGTACGGGGCGCCGCTTTGGAGCGAGGCTGTGGCGACACCGACATCGCCGGCGGACCGGAAACGGGCCCAGCTACCGCTCATACGCATGCAGCGGTTTCTATGCCTCCGCATTATTGCAGCGTATAGGACAGTGTCCTATGAGGCGGCCACATTTCTGGCCCGGATACCCCCCCTCTACATCCTGGCGGCGATGCACCGCAGGATTCATGGGAGGTTACGGGACCTGAAGTCTCGAGGGGACTGGTCTCCGAGGGCGGAGGATGAAATAAGGCAGGGCGAACGGGCCCAAATGATAAGGCAGTGGGGCATTCATCTGGTTGGCAAAAATATGGCAGGAACCCGAGTCAGAGAGGCCATTGCCCCCATTTTCAGAGAGTGGCTTGAGCGGAAGCACGGGAGATTCGTTTTTCATCTTACCCAACTTGTGACCGGGCATGGCTGTTACAACGAGTATCTGAAACGAATCGGGAAGACAGAGACATCTATGTGTCCAAATATTACTTGGATATGTTAAGAATTTAACATTAAGTTTTGAAAGATCGTGAATGGACCATTTGGAAATGACCACGTCGAAATGACGACTAAAACCTCTTGAATTTTTAACATCATCATTTGTATAACATTTGTAAAGGTCAAGGCCATTGGAGATTGTAACTTTTATTTTCATTTTTTTAGTTAAAACGGATAAAAAATTATCGTAGATTTTACGATAATTTGAAAAAACATGTTTCCAACAAAAGTTACTTTTCTTCGACGTCATTATAGGGGATTTCCTTTGAAGAAAACGAAGGTTACCCAATTTTCGCCGAATGCAGCGCCATCTATCAGAAATAGAAAAAAAAGTTCAGACAAAAGTTACGTGCTTTTGGATGTAGAATCCGAATCTGTAATAAAAAGTAGGAGTTCCCATTTAAGATTCCAAAGTTACTCCCTGCCCCATCCCCAGCGGGGGGGGGGCGGGAGGTGGATAATATTTGTAGGATTAAATTGCGCCTTCGAAACTATTGAGGGTTTATTTGGGACATTTTTACAATGCTTATTTTGCATGTCGTACAATGCTTATTTTTCGAGATATTAGCAGTCTGAAGATAAAAAAAAACACCCTGTATATATACAGGGTGGGCCATTTTAATCTCCCCACCTGAATTTCTCGTAATCTAAGTCAGATAGAGAAAAATGGTCCAGACAAAAGTAGAAGGGGACAGAGGGGGTCACGTAATGGTACCAAGGACCTTGACCTTGAACTCGATTTTCAAGGTTATTTCAAGGTCAAAGTGATTTTTTTAAATGGGACACCTATTTTTGACCCCGGATTTGAAAAGAGCGGGAAATTTTACGTTCAAAATGATATGTTAATCAAGGTCATGGCAAGGTCGAATGAAGGTCAGGTTTGCGAATTTTGATTTCCCAATTGAATATATCGGAACCTAAGCCAAATACGTAAAATTGGTTCAGACAAATGTTAAAGGGGGCCGAGGGGGTCACCTATCTGTACTCTGATCTTGACCTTGAACTCGATTTTCAAGGTTATTTCAAGGTCATAGTGATTTTTCAAAATGGGAATCACTATTTTCGAGGGTTTCTTTAACTGTATCAACCTTACTTTTAGCGCTACCCAGAAACAACGACGTGGACGTAGTAAGTACTGTTTCCTTTGGGGTGCTGGATTAAAGTGAGTCCCCTCGCCTCTCACTATTTTAAAAATTATTAATTTAATTTCGAAGCAAATGTTCGAAGTTGCCTCCATTTGCTTGAAGGCATAAAATCAAACGTCTTTGGAAATGGCGTACGGTGTTAAGGAGAGTTTGCCTTGGAATTGCAGCGCATGCTCGACGAATGCGATCTTCAAAGTTTGCTCTTGTTGTGGGCTGTTGTTCGAAAATAATATTTTTTAAATAGCCCCATAAAAAAAAATCTGGGGATGTGAGATTGGGGAACAAGCAGGCCAATTAACCGGATCGCCTCGTACAATCCATCTCCCATAGTAATTTTCATTCAAGAAAGCCTGTACGATTCGTGCAAAATGTGGTGGTGCACCATCCTGCTGGAACCACATTCTTCGTCGCGTTTCTAAATCGACATCTTCCATCAATTCAGGTAACCGATCTCTAATTAAATGTAAATAGGTATGCCTATTAACATTTTCCTCAAAAAAATAAGGACCAAAGAAATATCCATTGACGATGCCACACCATACTATAAGGCTCCAACGTCTTTGATGAGTCACAGTCCTGTGCCAATGAGGATTCTCATCCGACCAATAATGGCAATTATGCCTATTGAGTTCTCCGTCACTTTGAAACTTAGCTTCATCAGAAAAAAGCACAAAGTTGAAAAAAACAGGATCATTCTCTATCATCTGCAAAGCCCATTGGCAAAACATAATTCGCTGTTGAAAATGATGAAACTGTAACTCTTGAACTAAAGTTAAATGATAAGCATGATATTTATGGACTTTAAGAATTCTCAAAAAGGTTCTTCTAGGTATGCCAATTTCTCTTTCAACTCGGCGACTGCTGATATGAGGATCAAGGTGAACGATTGCAAGAACAGTCAGAACACGAGCATCATTTTCGTCGTATTCGTGGCGCCTGCGATGGCGAACCATATGTCCACCACGAGCTCTTTCAGTTAATGTACTTATTGTCCTATGATCTGGGTGTCGTCTATCTGGAAAGCGTTCAGCGTAAAGTCTTGCTGCAGCACGATAATTATTATGACTTTCGCCTAACACCATTATCATATCAACAATGTCATCGGGCTGATAGTCAGCCATTTTTAGAGCTGTTCTTCACCTTAACAAATTGTAGATAATGCAATGTTAATCGAAATTTTACAAACTATAAAAAAAGAGAAGAATCGAAGAATTATTGAATCGTACTTTATGACTATGAAAAATCAAATTGATGTAACAACTAAACAAAGTATGTTTTTATGAGAGAGATATTCAAAATAT